TGGGGATAAGTCGGGAGATCTTGGTGGCCATGGTAACAATGTGACATCATTATGTTGAAAGAAGTCTATTGTGACTCTTGCAACATGTGGTCGGGTATTATCTTGTTGGAAAGTTGGATCTGCCAGGGTGTCAAGATAGGGTAAAAGATGGGGTTCTAGAACTTCGTGGATATAACGCTGCGCGTTCATGTTACCTCTGATGAAGATTAAAGGTGACCTGGAACCATAAGCTATAGCACCCCAAACCATAACTCCAACAGTCTAATGAACATGTCTTTCAACAAAAAACTGTGGATTCCTCCTTTAACCACGTCGCCTTCTAACCCTGGCACGACCATCGTGCATGCCTAAACAAAATCGAGACTCGTCACTAAAGACAATGCTGTTCCATTCCTGATCCCAGAGTGACCGTTGTCTGCACCACTCAAGGCGATTACGTCGGTGTTCTCGAGTTAAAGGGAGGACCCAGTGTGGCCGGTATGAAAACAAGCCAAAACTTCTCATTCGTCGGTAAACACTTCGCATGCCAATAGGTATTCCGTGTACTGCAAACCATTCATTTGCAATGGACCTGGTAGTGGAGAAACGGTCCCTTAAGGCCAATAATCTTAGGCGGCGATCTTCACGGTCTGTTGTTCTACGGCGGCGTCCAGTGCCCCTTGCTCTTTGCGTACGGCCTTCTCGAAGCCATGCCTGACAACACCTAACCACAGTGTCTACACTTCTTTGCACTCTAACTGCAATTGCCCGAAAAGAAAGTCCAGCTTCCCGAAGTCCCACTATACGGCCCCTATCAAACTCACTAAGTTGACGAAATCGTACAGGTCTCCGTACTCTAGGCATCGTAACCGATCGTAAAGGATGTCAAGAACCAAAATCCGCCAACGTTGATTCTTTACTGCGGCTGAAATATTCATTTTTAGAGCATTAGTGAATTAAAAGAAAGCAGTATAAAAATCGGAATGTCCAACTGATAAGGCTGAAAATTTTTCACTTGTTATTTACAGTAAGATAAATACATTCACCAACTTTTATTAAAATAAAACCATTTAAACTGGGTGTTCGGATTTATATGTCACATAGTATATGATAATGTTAAAATAATAAGAAATAAAAAGATAAGATTAATATAATGCTTTTGCTTAAGTTATACAACTAACCCTACTATTTGCTAAAATAACACAAGTTTTCGGACTTTCTCTATTATTATTATTACACAATTGCGATCGGCGATGCAGCATAAAACGGTTGATACAACATTACGTGTAATTAGTACTATGGAACAAAATGTTGGGACAGGGATAAACAGACAGTTCAAAGCTGAACTCTTTTAAACAATTTCAACAAAAATCCCTGTTGACAAATTACGTTACAAAACAATGAAAACATAACACCATTCCCGACATCATATAAAGTGCTTTTCTAAAAGACCTCCACTTTATTTTTTGAAAGGATCACGTTAGCAACCTGAAATCGGGGATGATCAAATTGATGCATAAATGCTGTCTTTTGGTACAAAAGAGACAGATGAAAATTTCAAGATAGCACCATATTGATACATACGCTATTCAACTAACTCTTGCCCATCACCTATTAAACTTCCAGAAGGACATCGGGGGATTCAAAAGTGTTCAATCCATACTAGTTAACTATACAATCCCCGGGATGAGCCTATACGTGAATTTTATAAAAAACCATCGACAAACTACTTGAAAATTTCAACATTTATGTACACAAGCAAAGTGTCATCGATATAAACATTCTCAATTCAGGTTTCTAATACAAGCAATACATATTTACTTTGTTGCCAGAATAAGTAAGTGCTATAAACAAATGGACAGGGTATGAATCAGCTATTCTGATGTATAACTTGTTAATTGGTCGAAAATGTGTCACTGGTTTCAGTTGTTCTTTGAAACAACTAGCACACACAATGCTGACACCTATCACTAAAAATAGGCTACACTTCATAACGCTTCCTAACTAGCAATGAAATGGAGACTAAATTCACACTGTTGGTAAATTGCTACTTATTGGCATAGACAGACTTCAGGTGATAATGCATCGTCGTATTTTGGAGCGGTTACGTCCTTGGCCAGAACCTCTTCGGAAACAATGGTAAAGTGGTCGATGTAATCTGCAATGATCGCTTCTTTACATCAATTAATTTTTGACAACCAGAGACCGTCATCAAAAAAAGTAAATGATATATTGTCGCGTTTCGTACAAAACTAATTTGGTCTGCTGTAAATAACTGTTCCAGAAATTCATTGTTGGAAAGAACCAGAAAACTACTTTCCGTTGGCTCAAGTTTAACAATATGGATGTGGACGACATGCCTCTTACAGAGGTGAAGTGAATTGGCAATTAAGATCGTGGGATTTTTTGAAGTCCCAAGTCTCTACCAATAAGCCACTAACCACGAATTCCCTAAAAAATAACATGATCAAAGCCATCAATCAGAATTTAGCAATGGAAACTGGACCTCATGGATTCGTGCCTCTGTACAAAGCCGAGGGAAACATTTCAAATGAAAAGGAATTTAGTTATTATCTCGTTAACAATTTGTTTTATTTAATTTGTAACAAATAATAAACCCGTCATTCTTGAAAACCACTTTTGAATAAAAAAAAATGATTTGAGAAGTTACTCTAAAAATGATCCTATGTTCCTAAAAGATGTCACTGGAAACAGGTTTTTCTCAAATAACTATATCAGGAATGGACCAGGCCTAATGCAATATCCGTAATATTTTTTATCTTGGTTAACACATATAACGTATGATATATGATTAAACGATGATATTTTTGGAAACCTGATCGTTTAGCTTGACACAGCCTTGTTTCAGTACCGTTTTAATATGACTAAACGCTGGCATAGACAGATATCTGACTATTCCACTGAGTAAGCAACTTCACCGTCAAACTCCATGGCCTCAAATGGCTCAGCCCTTAAACTGCAATATACGGGGCAACAGCCCACAAACTGGAATGCTATCTCGTCCTCCTCCGAGCACATGAGACAGACTGGATCAAGGGATAAGTGTGCAGTGGCCGGTAGGAACTCTATTCTCTATCCCTGTCCAGTAGCCAGCGCGTCGGACGTTTGTACTCAGCTACTCAGGTTCCTATACAGCCATTCATTCGGGGCGGTATTGACCTAGCCCCTGCTTATGCCTAGCATTGGCTCAAGCAGGTGCTTCTGGTCCCCAGCTTAGCCAGGCGATGAGCTTTCTCGTTTTTTCTCACCGAGACGCCATGGCAATGTCGTCAGCGTCCGTAGCCAAACTAACCTATTGAAATACGTGTCACGTGGGTTGTGACACTGACAGGTGCAAGCATAAATTAGGAATACTCATACATTGGCGAGAAAATTTTCGAGGTGGCGAGACGAAACTAAAGAACGTATGTCTGTGCTAACAGAAACAACATTACTGGAGTGTTTTGAGAAACGTAAATAGAAGCAATGGTCCTTTATGTGCCAATTAATTTGTAAAAAGCAGCTGCTGTCAAGATCTTTTTGCCCAACGTGCGATGGAGCTTCAGCTCCGCACATGGTTCAGATAGTCGATTTGCTTACTTAAAGGACTAATTAGATCTTATTCACTAGAGGTGTATCTGATCACCCATAAATTTTATCCTAAAAGAATAAACATACATTTTTGAAAAACCAAAAGTTCTGTGCGAAGGCCAGTGACATGTCAGGTATGCCACTGGCATGCAACCCTACATAATCATCATGAGGACTTCACGGACACAGTCGATTTCTCACCCCTCGGTTGTCCACGCATCGTGCACTCGAAATCCCAGTCAAACGCAACAGGTTGTTTTTACCTGTCTGCTTCAATCGGGCCACCTTTTTTATTCGTTCGTACCCACACCAAGGCCGCGTCACCCTCTGGAGGTTGCATCTCTTTGTAATTCTAATGAGCAATGCCGTCGCACCGAGCTTGCTTTGATAACAGTGCATAATTTTTTCGGACCGGGAAATACCTGTTGTGCCTGTGCATGCCAAGCAGAATTTCCTCAATCTACTCTACGAGGTGCGCTCAAAATAATCCTTAACTACATCAAAATAGGCTGGGCTCAAAATGATCAATAGTCACAAAATAACTCACTCCTACATAATGCATTATGCACATTTTGTATGTTTAAGTTTGTGTAATAATTCATTGGAAGTGTCACGTTTTAAAAATGTATCGGGCATGTAGAAAGGATACCGGGAAACCAAGGGGGAAACGAATAAGGAAGGCCCCCAAATTTTGAAAACAGAAACGAAGAAAGATCTAAAAGGAGGAGACTGGGAAGATATGTCAGTGAAAGCTAGAAACGACAAACCCTTAAACAAGGCTACGTCTACTTATTTACAGTTAGATTGCAGCTGCATGAAACAGGATTACGTTCATTAGCCATACACTTCTTTCTATTTTGTGAATAAGCTCAAACTGCCGCATGTGCAGCATATGGTACCTATTTCGTTTGCTTTACAGGGGCTTGCCTTTTGTGTACATTACCTGATACTTGCAATTAGTCAAGGGCGAATTTATGAATCTGTCTAGAGGTGGCAGTAATGATCTCCCAAATTTCCAAGTCAGTGAAAACATGTAATGTGAAAATAAGTTTTCATCATTGTATCAAATAGTCTGAATACGGTCCTCAGGTTCACCACATTCATTTATTGACAAGAGTACAGACCTCACACAAAGATGTCAATTGCTGATCAGCTGTTAACCTCAATAGTCTGCAAGACTTAACCTCCAGATGATGTTTGACTTGTGGTAACATACTACGAGTATGTAATTTTGACGTATCATGTGGAAGCTCCAGTTGCTACATACCGTACCACTGTCGGGATACATTCAAAACAGCAGTCGACAGCTTGACTTTCGGCGAGGTGTATGTACGACAGCTTTAAACAAGCCTACAAATCAGTGATAATGAAGCTTGATTTAACGATCAAAAAGTAATTGCCGTGCATGTTAATTCATAATATTCATTCTGTTATACCAGGTGCTTTACAGAAATTTTAATGGTGGTACTAGTGAAAGGCATGCACATGTAATAGTTACGTTGCATTCTCAAGATTGTAAATGCTTGATAATATACGATTCCGTTGATTCCTGGAGTTGGTTTAGGTTTATCCTTGGTAACTGCATCCAAATTATACAGGGAAATTTGATATCTTTGTTATTTTGAAGGCGCTTTATGGTATATAATATCAGCTGCGTTGATTCTGCAGTTGAACCCATTTTTTCCTCAGTAGTCTACTGTCTAATGACTCTAATGTTTAGTACTGATGCAAAGGTTGGGTTTGATGGGACGATTTACAAATTTTCGTGAACTATGAATATGATGCGACCCGTCGAAGCGGTAAGATGTCATATGTGGACAAATCAACAAAATAAAACAATCGGTGATCCAATGATTTCCCAGAAGAAGCTTCTTCCTGTTCAAATGACCTTAGGCACTTCAAAAGACTGATCAATGAAATGTATGATCACTTGTTTATAGATGGCTGCTTCAGTACAGAAAATACTTTTTTTACTACTATCGTGAGAAAGCATCATTATTGTCCGCAATGCCTCATTAAGAAGTAGTATCCTCTTTCCTAGGTTAATAATGAAAACAAAAAAACACCTAGGTAAATAATAGTCATTTGAAGTTGTTTCCTGTCAACTTCTTTGAGCCAGTTTTGACAACTAAAGATATATTTCTAAATATCTTCCTCATAATCTCTCCCATACCTTCAACATATTTCTTGGGTCTTTTTATTATATCCAAAGTGTAAATACCTGTATTTCTCGGAAAATAAAGGCTGACTCACCACTTACTGCAGGTAAAAATAACTGACCACTTATTAGGTATTTATCACTGAATCCTTACAGTAAGATTTCCATAAGTATATGTATATTGTATAATTATCATTATCTAGCAATCACTGAGTATACCTAGCTCTTTCCACACTTTGACATATGTTATGCAAATTAGTAATAATGCTTTGAGTTTGGTTGTGAAATTTGCAACAGCCTAATGGTACTATTTTGTACCTCATTTTGAATGTTTATTTCTTCTTAGTGGTGTTTATTTTTGAACTAATAAACATTAAAAATCTCGGTAAAGTCAGACGACTTGACAATAGCGTCTGGCAACAGTGTCAGGCAAGGTCTTGAATCTTGTAAACTGAGCTCAACTTATGAAATTTGACAATATTATGTAAACAAACAAAAATACGTGACTTATTATAATTATTATAATACCTCTTCATTGTATTTTACGTATATTGGAGAGAAATATGGGCATATATAAATATAACAAATGTTATTCTTCCACTATCAAATAAAGAGCAGGAACGTAATCCAAACAAAAGGAGCAACAGTTAACGCATGGGTGTACAAACTGTTGCTTCATCGACATTCCACAAGTCTTTACCACGCCTTCCTTGATGTTCGAGTACGGAATTCGCAAACAGTACTACTTAGCATAACCTCTCACCCAAGCTTTCAAAACAAAGTACAAAAAATGCTTGAAGTACAAGTTTATTTTGGCAAGTTTGTAGTGTTGTATGGAATTTACGAGATTTTCAATGATATTCGCGATTTTAATGGGTCTATGAACTTTGTTTATACTTATACCGGCATAGAGAAAACAATCGCGCAGCATTAGGTCAACACAATACGTCACACAGGCTTCAACCTACATCACATGTTTTCAAAACTGGCCGTAACTTGATCCCGGCTCATGAAAACCGCAATAGCATCGTCGGTCATGCCTGAAAGCGGTGCAAACGACTATTTTAAGTACCTACCTTCATCCAGAAGCCTTTCTACGTGTATGAAAACGTTAGGCAGCGCTGCTAGCTGTTTTCTGTCTTTCAACAGTTGAGCCAGGTAGTCCGCTATGCTCTGTGTGTTGTTCTGGTCGCACATTGTGATTTGATGGGAGTGGGACGCGTGAAACGGAACTAAACACGGTAGAAGATCATGAGAATATACCGTATTATGAGGGTAATAGCGCGCGACACAACCTCAATAACTTTGACGACCGAACTGAGCGTAGTTTGAACGGCCACTGCAGAGTGAGCTGCGCGGTGGCGTCGGCGCAAGCGCAGTAGCGTATCAGGCTCAGCGCACTCTGGATTTGCCTTATATGGGAGCAGTGGTATCGGATATTGAGGATCTCTTGCTGTTTCTATATAAAATTTCAGGATAAATGTTAAACACGCAGAAGTGCACTAATCCATTGGATATGCACAACTGTAATTTCCATTGTCTTAATTTGTTTTTCAAACAGATTGAGTCATACGTACTGACAGAATTAAGATAAATTGAGAATGAAAAAAATGTGTTGCGCGCAGTGGCGTCTCCTTGGGATGGTATAAGTGTAATATAGAGGTGCTATTTTGCTATTCCATCAGGACTGACGCAGTTTTCTTAGAATAAGATTGTCTAAAGTCTAGATATTGTATTTAAAGTTATATAATGCAAAATATTAGCGATATTGTAATTATGTGTGGTAAGGTACCTACCATTATGTAAATAAATACGTACCTACGTAGGTAATTTTGTTAATATAATTTTGTATTTTTGTCGGATGATGAAAAGACCGTAACTTTTAGACGCAACAAGAAATATTCGACATTATACAAAAAAAAAACAAAATACGGCTCTGACTACCTAACGTTGACGGATCCGTCAGAATTATGTGTCCTGTGCCAATATGGGGAATTTTGAGATATTACTAGATAATCAGCTGTCATTCTACCGTAATGGATACTCATGAAAAAGGGTATATATGCTTGAAAATCATTTCTTTAACCTCAAATTGCTTATCTGACTAATCAGCGTCGTCAGTCGTATCTATAACACTCCCCCCTCAACTGTGTCTCTGGATGTACAGTCGGGGCAAAAATAATGGTGTGATCATGCTGTGATGATTTCCCCACAATATTTAAGAAAACTTTGCATGGGGATGTAAAATTAACTATCGTACTGTGTGGTTTCCATTTGTGATATGCATTTATTTTTGCTCCAAACTGTAGATGTTCAATAGTGTTATCTAGTGCGGTGGCTAGAGTGTTGACGCTGGCATTTTTTAACCGAAATAAGGCCGGGCATCTAGTGAGTAGTCTTCATTCATTTCAGAAGTTGTGTCCAAGCGGCACTGGAGGAGGGACCGATATTCAGCGTGTTGAAATATCCCGAAGACGCAGATTCGTATTCTCTAGATCTTGATTTATTCGGTCGCTTTTAGCAGTTTTTCTGTCACATTTTGGCTTCAATTTGTTGCCAATCGTCACCATGTGTTGCCAAACTTGCCAAACTGAATTGACCACATTATCAGGGTAATTTTCCAGGATATTTGAAAATACGAATAAAACATGGCCCGCCTCCAGCTCCTTTATTTCGACCACTCTACTTTGTTGCACCGGAATAAAACTCATCATGGATAAAAGTACTGACTAATATCTCACTTTTGAAAAGTGGTATCTAAGTGGCACCACTTGAGGATCCTGGCTACGTAAGTTTGCATATCTCGCAGGATCAAATTTGCTATTTTCTCTATTATTGTGCTGAATTCGAATGCAAGTGATTCGAGCAATAATTTTGCAGTATTATAGGATTTCTTTGGATCCAGTATATTGACAGCACAATGCATATGTCTTGAAATAAATCACAAGTGCCCCTTATGTTGTTATTGTTGTTATGGACAATGTTTTGAAATGTTTCCAGTAGAAATTTCAGCTAACTAAGAAAAAATCCACCAACGGTGTTTTTTACGCGTGTAGTAAGATTCACTAGTAGTAGATAACTAGATATTTGGCTGCACATACTCGTTGTTTATTTATAATCTGATGCCTATCCATCTTCACACTTCGTCTAAGGATTATTATTAGTGTGCTTCAATAATATTCAATGTTCCGTTCATTTTATTTTAACAGTTGGCGCAAATACCTACTTCTACCATTCCCATGTCGTACCAGTGGGTAGTTGGCAGCGCCTTATTTAAAAAAGCAACATTTCCAATTCTGCTTGGGCGGAATAAGACATAATCGCAGGTCAATAAGTGTGTAGGCACCAGAAGTGATATTGAAATTTTTCTTTAGTGTTTTTCATATGGCTGCGATTGCTGCTGCAATCCAATCCCAATTCCACTTCAAGGTGAGCGAATACATGGTGGCACACAACCACTCGTCTGGTTGAGGATTTGGTTTCTGGTAGTTTTGATATAGTCAATGTTAGGAATTCGGATTTCATTTGACTTCGGTAGCAAAGCTGTTGTAGCCTTATTTCATCAATAAGAAATGCAGGATATTATATAAAACTGCACCATTCCGCAGAAATATCAGCTTCATCAATGATACAAGAACCCGAGCTTACAGAGGCATCGGTAGATGAAAGAAAAAATGCGTAATATGTTGTCCACAATCCCGTACAAGTTTTTGACCAAACTATCCCTACTGTCTTCCCACAAGTAGGTACAAATTTATAATCATTAAAGTACAATACCTATTTTATAATCACTATTTTTATATGTAAGTTAAAAGTTTACACCTACTGAGAGGGGCCGTTGCAAATGCTTGATCCGGAAGCTGTTGTATTCAGTATACAACTTCTTCCCGTTCAAGTGATTGGGTGCTGGTCCAAGTCTATCAACAGTTCACTTTAGGTCTATTTAATATCAGTAACATGCAAAAAGAAGGTGGTAGACAAGGAACAGTCGACCGAGGCGGTACCACCTGCTAGCTTGTTCCAGGGTGCCTTAAGAATGTCCGCATGTTCCCACACATAAGCTACTCAGTCGGTTATCTTTCCCAATAAAGAAATTAATGATGATGGATGTCTCGAATTCTAAGAATTCCGGACGTAAACTCACTCCACTCTAGGAATGTGTGGAAGGTGGACTCGAGAGAACAACATCGATAATAAAATTTGTTTCACGAACATCTGCGGGATTAACAGCAACATTGATGCTGTTCATCATTACCTGCAACCTAGTCGTCCCGCCATGCTTTTCTTGGCGGAGACCAAAATCTCAGAGTTGGTACCGATTAATCATCTTAGCCTCCCAAATTACGGGGTACACTCCAATCTGAGAAAGAACGGGGAGTCGTGACTTTTATCCGCAGCCTATAGTCTTGCTTTTGTTACAAGTAAGGTGATGGAGAGATGCATAAATATTAAACTTCTGGACTACCTCGAACGTCACGGCTTGATTAAAGACAGAAAGTATGGTTTCCGGCACCAGCGATCCACAAGGGAGCTCGTAGCTTACGCCACGCAGTGGAGTAAGCTCATCCAGTCTTATAGTGAGGCTCATGTCGTTGCTCTTGATATTACGAAAGCGTTCGATCAGCTGTGGCACACTGTCCTCTTATACAAAGTTCCATCCTGTGGCCTCCCAGAGAAGTTTTGCAGATGACTGGCTGACTATCTCTGTGGCTGCAAGGTATCAGTCGTAATTGGAGGGTTCTCCTCTTCGTCCTAAAACGTCAACGGGGGTGTTCCGTATGGATCGGCCTTGGCTCCGACACCGTTCCTCTTCCATATCAACGACCTCCTTTCCTATACGATCAACCTAATCCACAGCTTTGCTGTTGACAGCAGATGCAGGAATTCAGAGCGACAAGCCGATCTCTGCCGGCGAACTGAAAAAAAAAGAATAGCAGCGACTTCCTCTATAACGAGAGACCTGGAGGTTATCACTACTTGGGGGCACAACAAATTTGTAGAGTTTAATGCTTCCAAAAGACTGTACCTTGATGAACAAAAAGCGACCTAACCCTCATCCGGTTTCAATGGATGGCTGAGCTCTGCCAAAGAACCGTTCATTTCGGCTGGTCGGCCTCCAGATCACCGAGTACTTGATCTGGAACGAATACATCTCGTCAATAGCTGCAGCTGCTGGGAAAAATCAAGGCTATTGGGGCTAAGAAGTATTTTTCTCCGAATTACCTCCTCACTCTGTACAAAGCCCAGATAAATAGCCTCGAGTATTGCTCACACGTTTTAGGTGATGCATTGTTTATGCTTGACGCTGTCCAGGAGAGGGATGTCCGACTGATCGATGACTTTAACGGACAGTCTCGGGTTCCTGTCCACCAGCGGGCCGTTGGCGATCTGGCTCTCTTCTACCGCTACCGCTATACCAACGGGCTCCTCAGAGCTCTCTTCCATGATGCCGCCGCGCGATGTGCCTTCCAAATAGACCCGCCTATCTTCGAAATCTCATCCTAACCGTGTCGAACTTCGTATATCCAGAAATGTCCAACACGACCGCTCCTTTGTCCCGAGGCCTTCTAGATTGTCTTAAGAAGAGACCTGTCCCAGTTTTACTAAACTAAACAGTTCAAAAATCGAATTAATAAAATTTCTTTGGGATCCTCATAGCAGCCAGCATCTAGACTTCTGCGTGCGCGGCTTCTGCGGTGTAAAAAAATAAGCATTGCTAAAGATTCATAATGATGTAATCCTAAACTACAAACTGCCACAGGCGCAAAGCAGAATGGAGGAAAATATCTCATAAAGAAGTTTTTTCCCTTGATGAAGTGTTTATCACACATATTATAATGGGCAAAACTAGCGCTATATTGACACCTGCACCAGCGTTTGACAAACAAAAAATAATTCAAAAAAATCTCAATGTATCTTTAAAATTATAAACGTTGGAAAATTGAGAAATTGTCTTCTTTTGATGAGCTTTCGAAATGAGAGTACATTTTCATGCTAACAGTAATTACACACAACGTGGGCGCGGTGACGATTTCCGGTAATTCTCCTCAAAGTTTTTCGTAATTTATAAGTTTGAACATAACCTCTCTTCAGAAAGTACAACATATAAATAACCCGTCGGACACAGCTAATAGATACACTTCATTGGCATATTCAGCAATGATTTTATCACACAGCAAATATCACTGATTTTATGCAGACCAATACACATAATTATCCAGATGCGATCTTACTATTCAACCAACTTTCTTCTCAGAGACAAAAGCTACAGACACGGATTACTCGGCCTCACAAAACATATGCAACCAATAAAGCGTGTAGTTTAGTTGAGTGATTCCTCCATAGATTGACGTTCACAACGATCCTAGTGAGCAAACGTGGAATGGCGCCCTAAAAACTTCCTAGTCTGCAAGATGACATCCTATAGATTTTTTTGACGTTTTATAGGTTTTTTACATAATACCCGTGCCGACATAATGTCACTCTTTAAGTTATATAATACC